ACATAAAGAATCAATAAAAAATTATTGTTTTCAATTTGTGATACTTGTATTTTTCATATATGTGTACGTATTTCATTTGGAATTTAATAAAAATATGATTGATTGTTTTGTTCACTAGAAATGTTCTGAAAAATATTGTGCCATCACCGCTCACAATTGCTTGTATTGTAACGTGGTCATTGAAAGCAAATAGGTATACCTATGTATTATTGTTACGTAAATGTCAATAATATAGATTTTTATCGTATCCCATTTATTTCGAAATAGGTACCTCAAACGCTTTATACTTAAAAAAAGCGTTTATTATATGACATTCACTAGCTATTCTCATTTTACACGAACTATAAATTAAAGCAGTTTAAAATCGTGTTCATTTTTAAACTCGCGCATTCGATGGTCCGGCAACTACATCATTTTACCGAATACTTCCGATTATACACGATGCATTGAATAATTCTATAGAAAGTCATCCTAGTACAATATTTAAAGCCTACGCATACGAAAACGCAAAAGCCGCGACTATGAATACTAGAGAAAAGGAGGCGAATCGGCAATGGTCAAATTTCAAATTTTTGTCCTTTTTGTTATAAAGTTCGCGAAATTGACTGTAGCTGGCATGTCTAATGAAAGCGCAGTCAATTTTCTATGTAAGTCAATGTAAAATAAAGTGATTTTTTAAAAAATTGATGAAATGAATCAAAATAATGTGAAAAGTAGCATGAGTGACAAAAAACATTAAAGCAGTATTTACGTCGTTTTAGATTGTAAATCAGGATAAAACTCAAATGTAAAATTAAAGAAAACACAAGAAGAAATCAATTCATTGTCTTTTTATAGCTTTTATTGTAAGTAAACTAATGTATTCATATCTAAATATAATATTTATTGTAAACTAGTCACAATATGTATCTTACGAAGTGTAGTTTATTTTATTATAAGTTTCTTTAATATAAAATTTTACAGTTATGCTGACTTACAAACAACAATAATTATACATTAAATTTAACTTACTAGAAAAGAAAATTTATTTTTATAGTTTAAATGTTAGATAAAGAGTTGCTACTGGTATTTTTTTTTGACCCCAATTGTGTCATTGTAAATGTTTTTTATAGTATACTAAACATTTAGAACAGTGGCAGCATATATATCGTTCCTAGTGTCGATAAAGCACTTTCTAGAGATGATGCTGTTCTATACTTTTTGGAAGATATTATCAAAAATTATGAGACTATTTTTACTGATGGTACTGTTAGCAAAATAAAAAGGGGAAAGCTGAAATTAAATGATGAGGTAATACATGATAATGTACATTCCCAAATCTCCCTTTATACTTGTATTACAACAATAAAAAATCTGTTAACTGTGTTTTATTTTATTCTTAAAACTATATATTGGTTCAATTAAAAAAAAAAAAATTGCCACAAATTTCAGCAATTAAGAAACCTTTTCGAATTTGGTCATACATACCTAATTTGCATTTTATATAAATAAAATTAAATAATTTATCAATTAAAACATGCAAGACTTATTTAGAAATAAATACAGTATTTTCTGTGCTTTATTTAGCTGTAAACAACTTTATTTTTATTATTTTGACAAAATTATGTATAATTCCCATAAGAAGCCATGTACCACATCGCCAAAATTCTTGGACCCCCTTATGTTTGTCAATATGAGACACTATTATTAAAAGTCAAGAAGTGTGTTACATATTACTTTTAATTTGGTTATGTATCCAATACAAATTGGCTGAATTAAATTTTAACTGAACAAGAAAAAATGCAAATGAAAAATATTGCATAATAAAATGATTACTATAATTTGAATTCTAGAAGAAAACCACTTTAGAGCGAAATCAAAAATTCATTAATATTCGGTGTGTCCTCCCCTGTTCTGTAGTAAGGTATTAACTCGCCTGTGCATGGAAACAATAAGGGTGTTAATGTAATCCAATGGATGTTGTTCCATTATTACTGGGCCGCGACTGTGAGTTCCTGGAGGGTGATCTATTTGAGGTTGCTCTTCCAACGAAATCCCACATGTGCTCGATGGGGTTCATATCTGGCGAATTTACTAGCCACGGTATTCTTTAAATACTCTGAATTTCTAGTCCCTTCTCGTGCGATGGGACCTAACATTGTCATCCATGAAAAAAAAAATTGGCTCCAATTTCATTTCGGAGAGGATAAATAATGGGTTCAATAATGTTTGGAATATATATATCAGCTGTCATAGTGTCTGGAATGGGAATAAGCTGCGTACGACGACCATGCATTATGCCTCCCCAAAATATTACTGTTTCTCCTTGGTATGGAACGACTTCTCTGGTAAAAGATAGTCTTTCTGGTCGCTCTGGCCCTCTCCCAAACTCTGTGTCGCCGAGTATCACTAATTAAACCATATCAGGTTTCGTCCAAAAAAAAAATAACATTTCGCCACTGAGCTAAAAGCCAGTCTCTGTGTTCCTGTGACCACTGTAGACGAGCAGCTATATGTCTGGGAAGTAACCTGGGTACTCTTAATGGTCTCCTAGATCGTAAATTGCCTCCAGCAAGTTTCCACCGTATTGTAATACTGGAAATGGATCTACCATACGTTCTTCTAAAATGAGTTTGGACAGCTGAGACTGTTACGGTTCGATTCCGACGTAGATAACCTGCTACATACTGATCTTCTTTTGGATTAGTTACCTTAAGACGTCCTGTCCCACGTCTCCAGTCAACGCTGTTAGTTTCCTTGTACAAACGCACTATTCGGATAACTGAATCGCGGGGAATCCCTAGTCTATCTGCGATTCGATGACTCGGCAGACGCTCATCATGCAAAGCCACTATTCTTGCTCTATTGAGTACTGAAATTCTATTGCCAGGCATAGTAGCAAAGAAAAACTCAACAATCACTTAAACACACAAAATCGATAGGAACCACTTTTTAAACATTGGTACCTAAAATTGTGGGAAATTGTTTTTGTAAAGATTTTTAGATGCGTATTAACGGTGAAATGAATAAAGACTAAATGTACAACAAAGCAGCCATGATAAATATTTACGGGGGGGGGGTACAAGAATTTTGGCGATGTGTATATTTGAACAACGTATGCAATACCAGCGCCCATGCGGTTAATTATAGAAGCTCAAGTAGCATGCGTTTTTTGGGACCGTATTGAAAGTATGCCGATTCGTCTCCTTATCTCTAGTCTTCATAGCCGCGACTTGAACGTCGCTGCAGAAAACGAATCATGCAGGGTTGTCAAATTTATTAGTATTATGTAGTTCCACATTAATAAAATATTTGAATTGTAAACCAACTGATTTATTTTTATTATTACTGTACCTCTGTAAAAGTGAATTATGTTATTGGCGATTGATAATAATTCGTAGACATTTGCCGATGCTGTTTAGAAGAAATTCGCCTTTTTTACTTGTATTTGAAGTTTGAGGATGTGTTTGGAAGAGTTTGAAGGAGTTTTAAAGAGATTTATATCTTATCCTCATTTGTCAACTCGTTTATTCTAAAAACTAAAGAAAAACGCTTGAAAACGTCAATTTTTAAATTCATCAAAATATCAGGCGGAATCGAAGTGTCGGTATTCTTATGGACCCCCTTCACACACACGCACCTAATTTTTTAAACAGCAGAAGCAGTCACTTAATTGAAATGTTATACAAAGCTGGTAATAATTGGATAATCAGTCTACAAACCACGAAGCTAATAACCTTAGTAGTTAATGCGCTGATGTTGCTGATGATTTACTATATTCTGACCAATTTAACAACTAATATTTTAGTTTACATGCCAAGTCTCTAAATTATTTTTTAGCAACGTTGTCACAGAAATAAAACCAATGACAAAACGTATTTTTATCAATTGGTCTGCTTGTCTGAAAAGAACTAAATTTGATAATCAGGTTCTTTTTTAGTGTTAATAAGCCATTACTGTAATTATTATTTAAAATCAGCTATTCATAACCTTTAAAACGAGGTGACACTTGATCCCTTTTGTTCTTTAAAAAAAGTGAGCGTGACTGTCACTGGCATGCCAATAACAAGCCGCTTTTAAATTTGCTGTTAGACATTTTCCCATTTTCCTCTACTCCTGACGTCTTTCTTACTTTTGAATAAAGGATAAAATTAAACCCTCCTGTAACTAATTCTACGCTCTTGTCGCCTTTTCCACTACATAGTTCTATTTTAGTCGGTTAATTTACAACCAGGAATTGTCCTTTTTGCTCCGTATCACATTTGTTTTCCCTTAGCTGCGAATTTAAAGTCGATTTTTAATAGAAAAAGTCTGCTTTCCTAGAAAATATCGGCTGGTTTGCATATTTAAGCAATTTGCGGATTATCTTCGAGCTGTTTATTTCGATAGTAAATTTTCTTTAAAATATTTAAATAATTTTTTTTATTGGCTAAACGGCGAGCTTTATTTAAATAAAGTGAATTTTAAAAAAGGGTTTTCCGAGATAAATGCACATAATTAAAGGAAACATTGCAAATACATTATTTTTATAAACCATCCAATTCAATTCAATAGAAAGTAAAATATATCTTTCTAGCGCATATTTTTGTTTATTTCGACAAAGTGAACAATAAAGTAGAGGAGTGAAAAAGCTCAAACTCGCCGGATCCTGACTTGGCTAGTAAGTAACATCAGTACACTGAACAAATACTTAATAAGCGATAAGCTCACCGTAACCGCAATGCATGATAGTAAATCGTAAAATTTACCAGCTCCAAAACTTTTTAAAAATTTTTGTAAATAGTGCCTAGTTAATCAAAAGTAACTTATCGTGTGACATATAAGTGCATCTTTATGCTGTAGTACTGTAAGTACAGTCTTTCTTCATAGTTCTACTGCAAAATTAAAGATTTTTATAAATCCATTTACAACGAGGCCTCAGTGTTATCAGTCCTTGGAGCGTCCTTGCTTCAAGAGCGGTTGTGACCTGGCGGTCAGGGCCGGCGCGAGGACGATCTCTACTCGAAATATTGTCAACAATTATGGAACACGAGACTGCTGACTACAGTAGCTCTCAAACTGCACTCCAAATCAATGTTACCCAAAATATCGTCAAAACTTATTCGTCAGTCGTAACACAACAATTTCCATCAAAAGAACAATCCATAATATTTAACTCTATCAAAAATGCCTTTCTTCAAGACTATCTAATACCATTAGGATCACTTATCCAGCCAAAAAATATATTGTTCTCCTCTCGAATGTCCAATCAAAGAATATGCATGTATCTTGCCAACAAAAGTGTAGTTAATATATTCATGACCAATTACGGACAAATCAAAATTAATGGCCAAACAGTAACAGCTCGTAGACTCATCACCCCCGCCGAACGTTTGGTTCTTTCCAATGTTTGTCCAACAATTTCTCACGATTTGATACTCCAGGAACTACAGAATATTGGCCTCAGTTTTCTATCAGCTATGGTTTTCCTAAAAATTAATTCAACGTCACCGGAATTTAGTCATATTCTCAGTTTTAGAAGACAGATTTATGTTAACCCACCGAATTTTAATGTCCCAGAATCTATAATAATTAACCACGAGAATACGTCGTATAGACTAATTCTATCTTTAGATAACCTAACTTGCTTTAACTGTAAAAAAGCAGGACATAAGGCATCTAACTGCAGCGAACAAACGTTTAGTAATACTCCTACCTATTCTCAACCACTCGCTAATCAAAACCCTATCTTAAACCAAATAGCCCCTCAAGAAGACAACGACCAGATCACTTTACGTCAGAATGAACCTACGACCAGCCAAATTTTAGCCCCAGACAACGAAAAACTAAACAGCAACTTACGAACAAATGTTACCTCAAATAAACGCTCTGCTTCCGCAATACTTACCCCTACTCCACATCCTTCCGACGCTATACCAGATAACCTCTTCGCTAAACCTCAAAATGTAACTGTACCAGAGAAACTTAAGGCAATGACACCTAATAGCCAAATGCTCTAACCAGTTAAGCAATATATCGACGATTATAAGGAATTCATTCTTAATTTTGACCAACTTGCTAACCTACTCGATAATGTTCATGGTTCTCTAGACGCAATAATTGTAGTGAACGAATACACCACGGACTACCCAAGTGTAATCACTATGTTTGAATCTATTCATCCCTTAATACAAGACCGAACCATAAAAACAAGATGCACCAAACTAAAAAAGAAACTTATAGCCTGTCTCCGAAAGGAAGAAACAGAAAACGACTGCTCCTCTCAGGACTGTTTTAGACTTTTGAATTTAATTTATATAAATTTTTGAACATTATTATGATTAAAAATATCCTCCAGTGGAACATTAATAGTTACTACCGCCATATTGGCATGTTCCAGCTCTTACTTAAAGAAAATAACCCCGATGTGATATGCTTGCAAGAAACCAATTTGAAACCCAAACATAGATGCAATGTAAAAAATTTTAACCTCTTTCGCATTGATCAAATCATCGCCAGTGGAGGGGTAGCGATTTTAACAAAACAACACCTTGAAGTAAAATCTTGCCACTTCAAACCACCCCAGAAGCAGTAGCTATTTCAATAAAGTTGACTAACAATAATATGATAAATCTTTGTAATATTTACCTTCCACCAAATAAAAATGTAACTTTAAATGATTTAACAATCCTAATAAATCAAAACCTTCACCAAGAATTAGTCTTGGTGATTTAAATGGAAATAACATAATATGGGGCTCGGTTAAAACGGACACAAGAGGAAAAATTATATGCGATATAGTTGACCATTATCAAATGTGCCTTTTAAATGATGGAACTCCTACAAGATTCGATACCGCCACAGGAAATTCATCCGCCATAGACCTCACATGCTGTGATCCCAATCTTATGAGCAAAATTGCTGCGTGGGACGTACTTCCCCACACATACAGTAGTGACCACTTTCCAATTAAGATTTTATTCAGTGGAACACCAGACAATAAAATGTTTTTTCCAAAGTGGAAATTAAACTGGGATAAATTTACCTCCGAAATTGAAAGTAATATATCAAATTGAAAGCTTTATAATGATATAAATATTGGCTTACAAAATTTTACAAAGATATTAATAAGCAGTGCGAAAACAGCAATTGGTAAAACTAAACATATTACCAGATATTCTCTAATACCATGGTGGAACCATCAATGTAAAGTAGCCATTACTGAGAGCAAGAAAGCCCTAAAAAGATACAAGCATTGTAAAACCATCAAAAATAAAATACATTTTAAGCGTCTAAAAACTCAAGCTAACCTCACGATTAACACCGCTAAGACAAATTCTTGGAAACAGTACGTTTCCAGCATAAGCTCCATCCCTGTCACAGAAATTTGGAAAAAGGTAAAAAAAAATGTCATCATCACACACAGCTCACAATATAGCCCAACTAACTGTAAACAACCAAATGTTTACGGAAAGTGGGGACATAGCAGAAATCCTTGCCTAGACATACGAAAGGTATTCAAGTAATGATAATTACGATGCAAGCTTTCTTCAACATAAAACTCTTGAAGAACTACAAACAATAAACATCTTTAATAGCAATGAGCCAATTAATGTGCCTATTAATATGAATGAACTCGAAGAAGCCCTCAGTAGGTTAAAAGATACCAGTCCCGGACCTAATGACAATCCTTCCTTTTTTCTCAAGAATCTACCCAAAATAGCGAAAGAATTTCTTTTAAAACTATACAATCAGATCTGGCTCAAACAAACCTTTCCCTCTATCTGGTCACATGCAATAATAATCTCTATTCTTAAACCCAATAAATTCCGATCAAACCCCGAATTTTACATGTTCCACAAGTAAACTATTTGAAAAAATTATAAATAAAAGATTGATGTGCCACCTAGAAAAACACCACTATATCAAAGAAAAACAGAATGGATTTGAAAAAAAAAACAGATCAACACTTGACAACATCTTAGACATCAAAAGTGACATCCATGAAGCAATAGCCACAAAACAAATGTCTTATGCTATCTTTTTCGATATCAATAAAGCATTCAACTCAGCCTGGAAATACTATATTTTATAGAAAATTTAAACTTGGAACATCCAAGGCAATTGTCTCGCTTTTCTAAGAAACTTCCTAAAAACATTCCTCTTTACCGTCAGAACAAACGGGACCACTTCCCAAATCCATCCCCAAGAAAACGGCATTCCACAGGGATCCATAATAAGTCCAACCCTTTTTCTAGCAGCCCTAAACGATATCTTAAATGAATTACATAAACCTATAAAAGCCAGACTATATGCGGACGACTTGGTTGTCTTTTTTTTTATTTAAAATTTATGGCCTTGGCATTACCAATTGGCGACTTGGTTGTCTATCTAAAAGAAAAATGTCTAACATCAATGACAACTATTATCCAAACAACCCTAAATAAGCTACAGGAATGGTCACTCCCCACAGGATTTAAATTTTCCGTAGAAAAGACACAGCGCATAGTTTTCTTCAAGAAACATTGCTCACAACAAACCCTTAAATCTTACATCAACGATCAAGTTTCTAGGCATGACATTTGATAGCAAGCTAACATGGAAGCAATAGGTAAAACAATTAGCACTCTCCTGCAACAACAGAATTAACCTTTTAAAGACACTGGCACACAAAAGTTGGGGCTCAGACCAAAACACATTAGTATTACTATACAAAGCCATTGTAAGGTCAAAAATAGACTATGGGTCAGTCGCCTACGCCTTCGCCAGTAAGACTACTCTGAAGCTACTAGACTCCATTCACAACTCAGCCTTAAGAATCACCTTTGGAGCATACAGATCGATACCCGTGCAAAGCCTTTACAGTGAGACCGGAGAACCATGCCTCCAACTAAGAAGAAAAACACTATCTTTCTCGCACGCCTCGTCAACATCAGCAGCTAAAAATAAATTGGTATACTCAAACGCTTTTAATAATAGATATCAAAATTATCTTAATAATAAACCTAGACTAGCAAAACGCTAGTATAAGAGAATTCCTAAGTACCTGCAAGAATCTCAACTAACAATTACCGATGTACTATCAAATAAGGTAGAAATCTACCCTCCTTGGACAATAAAAGTTCCTGAATGCAACACTACCCTCTCGCTGCAGAATATAAGCGAAACACCTCATACATTACTAAAAGTTGCCTTCCGTGAAATCTTAGAGAATAAGTTCCATGACTAACAACAAATATATACGGATGCATCCAAAAATATACAGGGAGTTGGCTGTGCTGTAGTAACTGGCACCGATCGTCTTCTCTTTAAACTTTCACTACAAAGCAGTATTTTCTTTATCGATATGTATGCCATATATCGCGCCATTAAGAACATCAACGAAGCCAATATCCCTTCAGCTGTCATTATCACAGACTCACTAAGTTCCTTTCAATCACTACAACAAATCTACCTTAAAAACACAGTAGAACAACTTATGAAAATAGAGCTCTATTTATTCCAACAGCAGAACAGGATCATCAAGTTTATGTGGGTACCATCGCATCTAGGAGTCCCAGGCAAAGTAAATGAGCGCCTCAAGCTATTACTAGTGACAATTCTGAAACATTTAACAAAACATCGCCCGAAGATCTAAAAATTATTTTAAAATGGTAGTAGTGCGCGAGTGGCAAAACGAGTGGCAAAGTGTAACGAATAAAAAATTGCGCTTAGTGAAAAATAATGTGTTTTCACGTAAAAAAGCGGGGGGGCTATCAAGGAAAAATCAAGTCATATTAAATCGCCTTCGCCTAGGTCACACAAAACTGACACACGAGCACCTTTTAAAGAATATAGGCCCACCATTCTGTGACGTTTGCGATACACCCCTTACAGTACAGCACATACTCATAGAGTGTACTAAATACACTAACCTCAGGCATGCTTATAACCTTCCTGAAAACATAAGAACATTACTGTGTGAGGACTATCACATAACGAACTTGTTCAAATACCTAAAAGACGCAAATCTTATTGACAAAATATAACACAAACTCTGTAAATCTAAACTGTTGTATTAATTTTCATAATGTTTTCACTGTATGTATCCTGTCGCTAATAACCTTAGGGTGGATGTGACAATAAATTGTTAAATAAAAAAAAAAGGCAATGCATATTTATTTCGTTCCTTCCTGAGCCAAGTCTCCACCACATTATTTTATGGTACTTAGTAGGTTTGTTTTAGTTCAAAAAGAACCGTCGATTTCAGTTCTCGAGTACAGTGGACGAATTAATTTTTCATGAACACATCGCTGATCGAATATAATTCATGGATTCTGAACTAGTTTCTGAAAGAACCAAAACAAGCCTAGTATAAAAACTGGACAAGTTCTGGACTTATTTAGATGTCTTCTCAATATTTTGCATTTTGTCTGTCAAATGATAAATCTTGATTCAAGTATATATCTATACTCTTGAGTTTGTCACAGTTTTTTTTTAATTTAGATTATTTTTTAACCCTTTAAATAATAATGGTTGCTATAAATACAAGTGACAATAAGAGCTCACTTAAGCACTTCACTATTAAAATGCATCCTTATAAACGATAACCCATGTCTACAGACGCAGCGGTATGAGTATATAGATACCGATCAAAGACATTACAAAATAGAAACAAAATGTTTCATTCATAAATCCCAAAGACATTACAACTAAGAGACCAAATTGTTTACATTTTTATGTGGCAAATCATTATTCCCATCAGATTCTCGTTTATTGCGTCTTTGCCGATTTTATCAGTCTGTAAAAATTATTTGGAGAAATTACATTCGAAAAATAAAATTTGATGTATCCTATAACTATAATTTTATATTATATAAATAAAAATATGTTTTTAATCAAATTATTCTTTGAAGTTTTAATATAAGCTAAATTTTTTATTAAAAAATCAATATTAATCTATACAAAATATTAGGATTGCAAAGAACTACGTAAATATGGCAACGCTGAATATCTTATTTTACGAATTTAAAATTTTTAT